AATTTCACTTTCATTAAAGTACAAGTAAAAATTAAAGTAAATAAATAATGAACAAGTAATATAGTCCATCTATTCATATATATTTAAGAATATTAAAAATAATTTAATAAATATCTGAAACATTAAAACATAAATGCATTTTTAATGTATTGAATTTTTAAATTATTTATCAATAATATATAGAATATCAACTATATCTTGATGAATTGCTGTTCTCTACATAATTAAGGTTTATTTACACGTGAATTTCATAAGCATATATATTAAACCCTATTTAAAAAATGCAATTAAAATTTTATGTTAGTAAGATAATAAAACAATTTTGAATTTCGATTAAAATATGTGAGTTTTTATAATATAGTAATTTAAATTTAATATAACTAAGCTTTTCAAAACTCATTCCACTCTATGAAATGATAAAAACTATTAATAAGATAAAATGTCCAACAGAAATATTTTTTATTTTCTTAAATATTATGTATTCATAATATTAGTAAAATAGGAAACAAAATTTTATTATATTTTTATTTTAACTAAAAAGTAAAATTAAGATGTATTTCAAATGAACAATTTACGTATTACATAAAAACTACCTTTATTATTTTTAAAAATAAGGTCAGCGAAAACTTCAATTATTAAATATAAAAAATCGAAATAAATTATTTTCTGTTTCAATTTTAATGTAAAAAATACTATAAAAAAAGTCTTCTGCATTGTGGGCGTTACAGACGCGTCTGTCAAAGTTGTGATAAAAAAAAGATAAAATAGTATACAGGGTGATTGAATAGTGAATTGTGATTTTGTAAGAGTGCCGTTGCTATTATTACTACTTAAAATGTCTAATACACAAAGTTCTAGGTTTTACAGTGTACAATTTTCAGATAACGGTACTTCAAGAATAGTTTCGAGAAAGCAGATGGAAAATGCCCTATGAGCATCTATCCTTATTTTATTTCGGTGTACATGCAGCATGAGCACGGCACGTTTACAAAAAAGCTGCACTGTCGTATTGTCATGGATTAGGATAAACTTCACTTACTAAAGCCGCATCTCATTCGTGCGTGAATTAAATTTTTAAAACGACAGCTTTTGCATTGCATTATTTTTCCTATTCTATTAAATTGAACAAATGCGTTGGGTTGTATATAATTTGTCTGTATTTGTTTTTTCATTTTATAAAAGGATTTTTCGCACCTTTTATGTAATAATAACAACTTCACTAATAACATTTGGTACACACAGAGAACACAATACAACCGAAATATAACCGAAGTTTAAATTCAGCTCAATATGTAAGCCTATATAGGATATAGGAAATTTGGAAATATAGAAAATTTGCTATTTTCACATAATAGAAAGAAACAAAAAATCAATGTTCTTCATCAAATTAACCGCAATTTTAACGAAAAGCCAAAAACGCCTTTATAAAATAATCTTTCTCATAAAATTATATTTTCCTAATTAATTCTTATATAAAAAATGTATTATTCCATCTATTCGCTTTAATATTAGCATACTTGAATATATGATTACCTTATATCAACATATTTTTATTTATTTGTACTTTCATTATTGTGATAAGTATTATCAACATAATTGTCTTCTTTTAGTCACTATAAAATTATGAAAAAAATAGTATAAAATAATAACGGAATTTTTTTTTAATTTTTGTTCGGTCTATTAATGTGTGCTGATTTATGAAAACATAACCCATGAGTTATTTTGTAAATCGAAAAGTATCTATACTTAAAGAAAATTAATTTTAGTCGCGATAATTACAAATTTCAGTTTTTATCATAATACATTTTTTTATATACAAGAAGCAGATCACAATTACTTTTTATTTATAATATGTCTTTTGATACACTTTTCAAATATAGACAATACATTTTTTTCATTTATAGATAGAAGTTATAAATGAAAATAACTAAATGAAAATAGTAAAGATCTTCTCTAAAGTAACAACTTTTTTTATTATAAATGTCAACTGTATATGTACTACCTAGTACCCGATAATTATTTTAATTCAATACGAATTTTCATTTGAACCTTAATTTTAAATACGAATTTATATATATATTTATATATTTAAAGAAACTCATATTGTATTACATTATAAATATTCGTTTTATGCTTATATCATTATTATATCTTATTTACATCTTTATGATTATTATGAATCAATTATAGTAATCATCTCAAAAAATGTATCTCTAATATATATGGCATAAGTAGTAAATAATTAAGTAATGAATTATATTTGAAAGTTTTTAGAAACCTCTGAATATTTATCATAAATTTAATAGATTAAATGAATAACAATATTTTAATGATGATTTTACTTTCAAAACAAGTAATCTAATCATTACAACACATAATCAGGAATCATGCTTTATCAACGTCTTCTCTCGACGTCTTCCGCTCGTAAAAGAGCAGACTTATGAATTATGAATGGACCGATAATCTGACATATTTGGTACTTTAACATTGATTAATATGAAAACAACAAAACTAAGGGCACATTTCTATACCGATAACTATCTCACGCATATACTCAAAGTCCTTCACAGTCATCAATACACAAGTTATGTCAATGCAAGCACACTCAAGAAGATATGGTATTATTGATCTTGATATGAGATGTATAAAATGACACGACTTAATACTATATTCAATTATCAACTTTTCAATAGTAGTAGCCAATAGCTTATCGATATTTTTTGGGAATTTTTTTATTGTACATGAACATTGAATAATTCTGCATGATGATAGAAATCCATTTTTATACTCTAGTTTTTAATTTAATTTAATTTTTCAAGTAGGTATTTACCTATAAAATTTTCTATATTTGAAATGCATTCTAAAATTTATCGTATACTTATATTTTAATACTTGAACATTTAATTAAAAGCTATTTTTAGATATTGTTTATTAAAATTCCAATTATTGAAAATTTCATTTGAAAAACAATTTTCTTTTAAATTTGGTCGACAATAATTTCGAGTTAATTCATTTAGCCAAGAAATTGTAAAAGAAATTGAAAATTATACCAATTTAAATAAAACATATAAAATAAAACTTTCATTAAAAAATAATTGCAAAAGTAATACATAGTAATTGTCAGAAAACTACTAAATTGCGCATTCAACTATCTTAACTATCTAAAAAAATTTTATAAATAATTTTATTGTGCTACTTATTCTGCTCATTGCCGCTCATACTTAATTTAATTTTTGTTTCTCGCTCAACTTTATTAAATCTACTAAATTTCTAAATACAGTGCGCTATCAGAATTTTTATGCTTTTTCTTCTCTTTCTTTCTTCTTGAATATTTATATATCACTCGATCGAACTGAACATTACGTAATCAATCTAAAGTTTTATCTACCTAGCAGTATATTTAACAAAGTAACTGCTAATAGACAGTGTCTTATATGGGTTGAGGTACCACTATATTTAATATATACATAATAATTTACAATTGGTTTATAAATAAAATTTTAAATATTTTAATTAAAAACGAAATCGAAATTTTAAGAAAAAAGATTAATGCTAGAATTAAATAATTTGTGAAAATAAATATTTTTATGTAATAAAAATATATTTATTATTTACAAATAATAAAACTTATAAAAATTAATTCATTTATAAAGCATACTATATGTTAAATGTTATTAAATTGTTAATAAATGAAATAAATAAATTTATTTTTTATAATTTTAAATCAACTAAATTAATCAAACAGTAAAGATCGGATATTATATGTTTAATATTAATTTTGCTACTTTACAGAACTTGTTTGTAAGTATTTATTATCGCTATGAACTTTCTATATAATATTTAATTTCATTTAATAATTTTAACATAGACTTAACACTTTATTAATCAAACTCGAAATTCTGTTGCAATCTAAACAAATAATACTCAATACGTATTCCATCAATTGGTAGTAATTGATGCGTACGAAATTTTATAGAATATCAAAGGTACAACGAGGATATAAGTACACTCTAATTTTTATATAATCATTAAGCCAATTGTAAATAGGAGTTTGTATTCAAATATAATTTCAGCATACGTATTTATAAATTAATTACCATTAAAGTGTTACTCTTTTGATTATATTATACTTAAACTGTATGATAATTTTATTTTTTTATAAAGAATTCTCTTAAAATTAAAAAAATATTTATCTAATAATTTATGTTTTCATACGAATTTCAACATAAAAATATAATGTATATATTTTGTCACTTTTTTTATTTAGTTACTTTATATTCATAATTTTTTGACTGTTAAAATACATTATCAATCGTAATATTTATAATATATATACAACCATTAAATTCAAAGTAAAAATCTTAATAAATTTATATTTAGATCGTATTATATAATCATAGCACTCTAAATAATTAGATGCAAATTTAAATAAGTAACAATTTAAATAAACTAGAAATCAAAATGTAAAATTAATATACAAAAGATTTATGTATTTAACCTTATATTATAACATACTGTTAACATTGTAATGGAAAGATTAAATGTAAACTGTTTAACGTACATTTAATAGTTATAAAAATCTAGTATGATGTATAAAAATAAAAATCTTTTATCTATTTATGTTTGAATATTATACAGTATTTATTTAATATTTCCAAAATATTATACAAAATTTATATTATAAAATATATTGATACGAATGAAATATAACTTTTGAAGTACATAAATCATTGTCACGTCGTTAAAATATTCTTTTAAAATGTAAACTTTATCGAATTAACAAATAAATGCCTTCTTAAATTATAAAAGAATTATATAAATTTGAATTCTATCTTGACTCAAGTAATTTATTACTTGAAATTTTACATATATAATGTATAAAATATATGTATATTCTGTAGACTTGATCCTCATTAAAAAAAAATTATTTGACATAATTTTTACATTAATGCTTACACATATATTAACTGACGATTGCCCCGTTTTCGTTTGTTTTACAGTACAATATAAAAAAAAAAGAAGAGATGCAAGAAATACAACAGGAGGAACCAAATCCATTAATGCGCAAAAAAAAGACTCCTGAAGAATTAGCAGCTGAAGCAGAGGCAGAGGATGAAGACGAGCTTACAAGTAAATTTTACAGATTTTATTTTCTATTCAGAAACATATTGTGACTGTTTTTATTCGTTTGAATTTCAATTTAAAATATCTAAAATTATTATATTATATTGAGTAACAAGATTTGTATTTTTATTAAATTGTATTTTATCTAAATTTATTTTATAATAATTAAATGAATAATACTAAATTATATATAAAAAATATTAAATATTTACTTTTTCAGAGCTGAAAAACACAATAACAACAGGAGTAGACGAGCTTAAAACACAATTCGAAGCCAGGTGCAACCTCCAATGAGTTTACTTCACTGAACTGTGCTCGATTGGCCGAGAAGTCCTTCTTATCTCCACCCATTACGAGCTTAATACAACGACAATGACAACCAGCATGACAATATTGACGACGACGGTGACAAAAACTATAAAAAGAAAGGAAGCAGAATAGAGAATCAATTCAACCGACGAGACGCGTATAACATGAAAACACCACTATTGGCAATCAAACCAGTAATGGTTTAGGACAAAAGCTAACTGAATCGCATAGAAAGAGATCAAGAGAGAGAGAGAGAGGGAGAGAAACGAAGAGAGAAATAAATAGAGAAATAAGTGAAAGGGTGAGAGAAAGGGAAAAAGAAGTGAGACGGAAATAAGTCAAGACGAAGACCAATCAACGAGGACATAAATAGAAAGGAATTTTCTCCCTCACCCTTCTGTCTCTTTCTCTTGAGCAAACTTTTTTTTTTAAATTATTTACAAAAAGAAGTTGTTTAACGAAGGATAATTAATTGAGTAAATACAGAATAAAAAGGACTGAACATTTACAGTAAAATTGCCATCAATTTCCAATGTTCAATAATAATCATTAAAGATGCAATTGAAAAAAAGAATAGAAAAGGAAATTGGGAAAAGTAAAAAAAAGAACGAAGAAACTATAAGAAGAAATTGGAAAACAAATAAAAAAATTAAGCAGTACGAATCCGACGACGAAAAATTAAATTTTGTAATAAAAAGTATAATTGTTATTGAAAATTGAAACCAAATTTATACAACAAAATAGCTGCTTGAGGTTCTTAATTGTGAAAAGATGCACATACGTTGTGAGTGACAACCTTTGCATACCCAACAGTAGTGTTTCGCTTCCTAACAAATAGGTTCTCTACGCGCGACTTTAAAAGAGAAAAAGACGGACTAGATTTAACATAAATGTATGAAATGAAGTAATTGTTTTTAGTAAAGTAAAAAGTTTTTAGAAAAAGGAATTAAAATAGCAAACCTAAATGATAGTGGAGTTATGTAGTTGCTAGATTAATCAGAAAAATATACGCATAACGGCTGTTTTAGAAATAATATTAATACTGATTATTAAAAAATGATTAAATGATGAAATCGAAAAAAAACAAGTAACAATTCAACAGATAATTTAATATTATTCAACGAAAAATTTAACGATTATAGAGACAACAATTATTACTACATTTATTATTTTTTTATTTTATTTTATTTTAATATTATTATTATTACAATTATTATTATTATTACTATTATTATTTTTATTCTTAATTATTAATTATCATGATGATTTTATTGTTGTTGTTGTTATTGTTGTTGTTGTTGTTGTTGCCGTTGTTGTTATTAAAAACACTATTATTATTAATTATCATTTTTATTTTAGAACTATTATTTCATTATTATTATTGTTATTTTTATTAAAAATTATTAAAAAGTTGAAATGATATTTAAGTCAAATATTGTATGACAAGAGAAAAAACGCGTACGTTTATAAAATTAGATACGTTTTCTCGTAAGCGTCTAGATTTCACGAAGATAGTAGACGATTTATAAACAATAGTAAATGCTATTAATTATATGCGTGAGGTTGGTTTAACAACAAAATGAGTGGATTTGAATGAAAAATTACAAAATATACAATAATAAAATAAAAAAGAAGAGACATGATAAATAATCGATAAACGTGAGTGAACGGTAGTTCTTGTTCGGCTATCCGTCCGATTCTCAAGGGCGCCACCAACCGACGGCCCACTCAATAAATTCTCAGTGTGCGGAATTAATTACAAGTGCAGCAGTTATTTGCACATTGTTGTTGTTATTGTTAAATTTTTGCTAATATAAAGCGATACTCGCACTCATCCATTTATCGAACATACGTCGCAGACTCCGAGGGACCTTAACGCAAGTTCGATTTCTTTCTAAAATAAGTAAGCTATTGTTCAGAGACAAGAATTAGTAAAAAAATTTCGTACCACAATCTAGAAGATTTTTCTTGTTATTATTAAAATAACATGTCGCGGTATTATTTCTATACCAAATAAATATTTGAGTAATGTTGACTATTAACTGTCTTGCTGATGTTTTGATGCTAAGTATTTACGAAATCATATCATGCCGTATAATATAAATAAGGCAGTTTTCAATGAGTTTTTCAATGTTTTTAATTTGTGTTTATATAAATATATTATATAATAAACTGCAATAAAATCTAAATTAAAACGTTTGTCATGATGAATTATCATATTTCAAAACCAAAATGTTTCCAAACGATTATTGTAGTAAATATTAGAGATATGAACCTATACACAAGGTCCTTCGGTATTTTAAATGCGACAAAACGATGAATACACTAAAATGGCTCGATCACGAGCAAAGAATTTCTATAACTTTTATTACATATATAAAGCACATCACATAATATAAAAACGAAAAACATTTCGTAATTCAATTTTTTACGAAATGAAAAAAAGGATTACAAATTTAGAAGTTTAGAAAAAATAACTAAAATCTATATCCCTTGCACTTTGAATGAGAATTGGGCCGACGGTTTTGTTATGTAGCAAGTGCGTGTATAAATTCACCAAATACGGGCAATATTTGTTGATATTGTTAGAATAATAGTTCAATGTTAAGTCGTCCCTATGGTAAATCAGTGCACGCATGTGAACTCGAAAAATGATGTCGGACGCGATGGCTCTTAATAGAGCACCAACTGCCGCCAGGTGATGCATGCCTTATATATAATATACTTTTACCTATAATATATGAAAAATATACATACAAATAAACATACATATAGATACACACGCGCATATGCACACATTCACCAAAATATACATATGTAGAAATTATGTAGAGATCAAGGAAATAAATTTTCGACACTGAACTTAGATGCAATACAAATTTGCGTGATTATGTCGTACACGTGCGATTCTGCGCCAAAAAAAATTAAACAAAGACCAAAAAGAGAAAGCAAACCTTATATATATATATATATATATATATATATATACATATATATATTATATATTATGGAGACTAAGATAAAGCTGATACAATTGCAGCATATCAAAAATTCTGGCTATTCTTATATATGTATAAACGTTATTGCATAGAAGAATTGAAAAGAACTCAAAAATAGAAATTTAATCTTGTGTTCTTGGGTTATTAACTAACTAGATCATCACTGAACTGAAAATATGCTTTTACACATTTGTACGATCAGTGTTACATTTGATACAAAAGGAAATTAATAAAAACAGTAGTAGTATAATGCACATATTATACGAAAAGATAAAGCAAAAATATAATCTGAAATTAATAAGTATCGGTATAAATTATTTATAACTTTTAAAATTTTAATTAAAGAAAATAAAACAGTGTACAATATTTTAGGCAAAAGTATCGTAACGTATTACGACCCAGAACAAAATAAACAATTACATAAAAATAAAATAATAAATGACCCTGGTATTTTCACGCATATGTCGAAAAAAACTTTACAAAATGAATGAAAGATTGAAAATGTGAGAGAGAAAATGAATCTGCTTGATAGAAGAAACATAAGTTTACCAAGTTAATAAAATCACCAAGTTAAAGAAAAAAAAACATAAAAATGAAATAATCACATGTGTGATGCTGTTTTTGTATGGACGATACATAGAAAATGTATTTTTTTATTTTCGAAATAAAGAAAAAAATATAATGATAATTGACGGTAGTCAATTGTGACATAGGACAAGAAATTAAAGACAAACAAATTAATTATATACGCACGTTAGTATATATACTTTTCTGATAAACACTTTGAAACATTATATAAATAAATTTACAACAAACTGCTAATAAATTACTTCAAGTTCTTTTTAAAACTAAGAAAATTCAGTTAGTTTATACATCTTATTATTTTAATAGAGTTGTCAAAATTTTCAATTTTCAAAAGGACGGGGATTAAAACGAAAACAAGACATTATCACCAAGTCAAGTCATCGTGATACAAATATAAAGCGTAAAATTATTTGAACAAGATTTTAAAATCTAAAAATGTTTTTACGTTCTAAAATAAATATTCTTATAAATTTCAGAATTATTTAGTTTAACATCCGCAAGATTACAAAAAAATTTTAATATTGATAAAAATACAATAATAAAACATAAATCCTTGTATTAACCGTCGAAATCCTTGTTATAATTTTTATAAACAAAAACATTATAATTTTCATCCTGTGATATATCACTCAATAAACAAACTATCCAGTATTATAAATGTAAAAAAATGTTAAATACATTATAAAATATTTAATATAGATTGGTAGAAATATAAACATTGATAGAATAATCAAATGTTAATATCTTGCTATGATCAGTTTGGATTTCTGAAGGTTCAATACAGTACAAAAATAAATACAAACGAAATACATGTGTGTGCACGCATTTCATCGCAGAAAATATTTAATTTGAAATCTGTAACAGAAAATAAACACTTTATTTCCTACGCATGGCGAAATAATAAATATGCACTTTTGAATACAATAATATCTCTGCTGCGCACTATTTTATGAAAATTTCGATTTTGGAACATATAATTATAATCTAATTAATTTGAGAAAATTCATATGGTGATAAAATAATTCTATTTCATATATTTATTTACAGTACATTTTTTATTAAATCTAATTTTTTTTTAAAAGAAAATAATAAAAATATTTATCGTTTTTGGTCAAATATATTAAAAAATTTATTACAAAAATTTATACGAGACCTAACAGCTATCAGATATGTCTTGTCTAATTATTAAATAATCAATAATTAAATTTGTTAAAATACTAATAAATTTTGAAAGGAAATATTTTTAAAAATACAACCAGTTCCAATATCGATAGTTTATATACGTAAAAATAAAGAAAATTTTTCGTAGATAATCGTTATTCAACGAAAGCTTTTATTGTCGTGTAAAGTTCAGATCGTAATTTTTCGCTTTCCTTTCTTTCGTACTATAAGTTAAACTTAGTCTTCAAACTTAAAAAAAATAACTTAAATTTGGTCGAGGAATTTTTAAACTTTTTATCCCCATTACCTCATTACGAGATGAAAAAAGTCAATGAAAGAGAAAGTGACAAAAGTACGAGAACCGAATCCTTAAAGAAAAATCAACTATTAGTAGTATATCTATCTTCCTTTAGCTTAGTCTGTTTACTTACGAAAAATACACTTCGAAAGTTTTCGTGTTCGCCTTTCGACTTTATCGTAACTCTTATATCCAACTTCTAGCTTCAAGCGTTTAT